GTGGCACATGCCTATAATCCAGTCCTCTGGGAGGCTGAGGCAGGAGGATCATAGATTCAAGCCCACTGGGGCAATTTAAGTATTGAAACCCATTTAAGTATTGAAACCCATAAAAAGAGCTGGAGATGTAGCTAAGTGTGAAGGGCCTGAGTTCAATCCCCAGTACCACAGAATAGTACATATATATGAGCTTAGACATTGTGGTTCAGCAGGAAGCAGAGAAGGCACCCTTAGGAAGAGACAAAGCAATTATGATTTGGGCAAATAGCAGTTATCCAGAGGGAGTGGAGAAGCTTTGAAAATATGGTGAAGTAAATGTATGTGAGGGTGAAAGAAGGCTGACTGTCTGTGGCTGAAGTGTGCTGAGAGCAGAAGGGCATGGAACCTTCAGTCTGGAGAAAGATCTTACTCTGACATCTGCTGGCTAGTATATATATTGCAGTTTCTATTACACATGAAAATCCCAAGTAACTGCCTTCTTTTTTTTTTTTTTTGAAAAGCTACAATAATAAATTTAAAATAAAACAAAGCCTTCGTCCTATTCTGTATTGTGAACATCACTCAGAAGACTTCAGACAGTTGTTCACATATTGCTTGTCTGTGTTCATTGTAGATAAGTACATATAGTACTGATTTTATTTAAGTATACAAGGTCACAAAAACAAATCGTATCTATAAAAGTTGAATAGACTTGTTACTGAGTCATAAAGACATTACAAATCACTTTTTTACTTTTTTAGGGAGGAAGGGGGTTGTGTTATGTCCCCAACGCTTTTTATTTTTGATACAGGGTCTTGCTAAGCTGCCTGAACTGAACAAGGCTTGAATTTGTGATATTCCTAGCTCAGCCTTCCAAAATGCTGGGATTATAGGCATGTGCCACTCAGACAGCTTTGCGCTTTGTCTTTTTTTTTTTTTTTTTTTTAATCTTTTATTTCTTTATTTATTTGGTACAGGGTCTTGCTATGCAGGTTGGACTCATAGTGATCCTCCTGTCTCAGCCTCCCCAGCACTGGAGTTACAGGTTTGTGACACCATGTCCAGTTTCAGTGGCAGGCACAGTGTGCCCAGGGTTCCAGGGCCAGCACAGCATGCAGTACAAGGATCGAACCTGGGTCCTTGTGTTTGCCAGCCAGGTGCTTAGACCACTGAATATCTAGTGAAATATTTTTAGTTATGAAATATGTTCCCAATTTTTTACCTTCAGCAATAAAACACAGCGAGGGCTAAGAGTGTAAACTTGGTGGTAGAACACTTGTCTAGCGTTCTCAAGATCCTAGGTGTGGACCCAGTACCCCAAAACAAAATTGGCTTGAATCCAATAATTACTCTTAAGGCTTATGATCAACTTTTAGTCTGTCTGATAGTTTTCATCCTTTTCTTGGTCACATTAGTAATAGTATTTCATCTTCCACTGCTGCATTTGAAACTGAGTCTTTTCCACTGGCAGCTGCCTCACCAAGCAGTCACTAATTAGGTTACATGTTAAAATATAAGTTCTGTGAACAAAGTGATTTATGGACATCAGTATGCAATGTAAAAATTGTGGGTTGTTGGAAAGTGGAGGTCCATCTAAATGGAAAACAATGTTATAATTAGGAGCTTAAAGCCTGGGTTACAGCTTTAGCTTTTATTGTGTGACTACATGAGTCAGGTTTTTTTTAGTTCAGAATCCAATTATGGCAGCTGCAAGGAAAGAAGTATTTTATTAGAAGGATAATAGGCAGTTCGGCATCACCAAGAAGCCTAGATAATCCGGGTTGGGGAGCAGGTATTGGAACATTACCCTTCGTCACTTGATCACAGAGCTGCTACAATGAGGACAGCCTCTGCTGAGCATTAAGGAGTCTCCACTTAGTTTACCAAGGCCACAGGCCCAGAACTGTGGACCCTGCCATGGACATGACATCTAGTGTTGCTATATGAATTCAACTTGCTGTCCCTAAAGACAAATTCTAGAGACTGCCTTGTATCTCTGGTTCTCAATCCAGTCTGGGGCACATTTAATTTGTAGCATTGAGATCATGGAAAAGCTGAGACACCACGTGGAATTTCTACTTCTGTAATGAAAAGTCGTGATCCACTTTCCAACTGCTCATAATTCAGGAACTCAAATGTAGGAAGAAAGTTCAGATCCCAAGCATCCAAAAAGGATTATATATGTTCATTGTGTTGATCTTGGACAAATCACTACCTAGGTGAGACCAGTTTTTTTGTACAACAGAGTTCACATGGCTGAGCAGATTGTGTTCACTTACTCATTTGGCAATAAATACCAACTATGTGTGAGAGCAGAGACAAGTGTAGTCTAATGGAAAAGTCACCAGATAGCAAATGGAGGACAGGACAGATGAGAGCAGAAAGAAGGGAGGAATCAACCGTAGTTTATGAATGATGTTCTTATATTTAAATACATAAAATATCAATTTTCCCATGTGCTTCGTGATGCTTGCACTGCTAATGGAAAAGACAGCATGCTCTACTAGAAAGCTGCTAGTGAGCTCCTTTTTTTAAAGTTAGCTGTTCTATAGTGATGCCAAAACAAGCAGTGATGTTGGGAGTTTGACTCCCAGTACCCCGCCCCCAAAAAATTACTGCTGATTTCATACAGTGGGACACTTTTCAGGGAATTAAACCTGTGACAGTTTTGGCAGTCAGTAATAAAGATAAATCAACAAGTTTACTGTTTTGAGTTTCCCCCATTCTGATGACCTGACCTAAATATAGTTTCTATACTATACTTTGTGTCCAGCTTTGTCTTGAACTGTTGTCCTTAGGTTTAAATATTTTGTTTTTCTAGTTATTAAAAACAATGGAAGGCTGGTGGTATAGCTCAATGATAAGGGCTGGTCTGTTAGCATGTGTAGGGTGTAGGGTCCAGGATTCAATCTCTAACGTGGGAGTAGAGAAAAACAGCTAAAAATGAGGAACTGATAGAGGTCAGTGGGACCACCATGGGGATCAACTATTTCAGACCTCAATCTCGTGTTGTAATTTATTTTCTCAGCATTCTTTGTAGGGTTTTATTGGAGCTGATGGTCTCTTCTAAAATCCAGAGGTTGAATTTAACTGTACTTTTTGTTGTTTTTTGAGTCAGTCTCACTATGTAGTTCAGACTGGCTTTGAACTCACTAAGTAGCCTGGATTGGTCTTTAACTTGTGGCAATCCTCCTGCCTCAGCTTCCCAAGTGGTGGAATTGCAGGCATGTGCCAACATCCCCAACCCGACTCCAACTGCTTTTTTAATCACTCCACTTGATGCACAGGTCTCTCAAATTCAACAAGTCCAAAACTGAGTTCTTTTTTTGGTTTGGTTTTCTTTCTGTGTTTTGGGGAAGGATCTACAGGGTGTTCAGGGTCTTACTACTAGATCAGACTCATAGTGATTCTCCTATTTACAGCCTTCCAAGTACTGGGATTAGAGGCACACACCACACACCCAGTCTCAATTGCCAGCTCAGAGCACCCAGGGGCTGGGCCAGCACGGCAGGCCTGGGAATAGAACCCTTGGTGCCTGCACCAGCTTGTAGGCGCTTTAATCCGCTGAGCTATTTGGCCGGTTCTCAAAACTGAGTTCTTGATCTCCACAACCCCTACAAATATGTTTGTCTTGAAATAATTCTTGCCTGTACCAAATAAATAAATAAAAGTTTAACAAAAAGAAATAGTTCCTGTTTTGACGAATAGCACTTCAATGGGCCCAGTTAGTAGGTTAAGCTGTACAATCTCACTTGTTTTCCACCCCAGGCCATATTTGACTTTACCTCAAAAGTGTATCTCAAGGCCATTTCTGGAATTTTATTTTTATTTATTTATTTTTTGCGGTACTTGGGATTGAATTTAGGACCTTGCACTTGCCAGGCAGGAGCCTATACTACTGAGCTGTTTCCCTGGCACCTCTAGGCCATTTCTCTCCATGTTCACTACTGTTAATCTCTCTGCTTCCATTCTGTCTTTTCTTCCCATAGTAGATGACATAACTATTTTAAAAGGCACCAAGAGCCGTGAGGCTGAGACAGGAATATTGCCAAGTTCAAAGCCAGCCTGGATAACATACCAGGACCCCATCTAAACAAAATAGCAAATCACACGTATTCTCCATACTTCAAAAGCTTTTACATAAAATTTTACCATGGCTGCTAGTGGCACTGGCTCAAACTGTTCTTCCTTACTTCAAAAGGCTTCAAATGACATTTCCATTTCCTAAAGAGCAATCTTTTCTATCCCCTGCCTCACTTGGCCCAAAAACCTCTACACAGGGTTTCCCCTTCTCCTCCTGGATTTGTCTTAGTTTTTTAATTATCTTTGAGGTCATCTCTGACCTTTCTTTACCCCTAATTTTGCTTGAAATATTTGTAAATACACATAGTATAAATGATATTTGAAGCTGTGTGTGGTGGCACAAACCTGTAATCCTGGCACTCAGGAGGCTGAGGCAGGAGAATGGCTGTGACAAACAAAAATTTGATTTGCATCTACCTTTTCCACCAGAGAATTTCAGAAGCACAGCAACCATAACAGCTCTGTTCACTTCTATGCCAATAATGATAGAGTCAGCAGTGGCTAACATTGTAAAATAGCATTTATAGTGTGACATGCATTAGACCAAGTGTATTGCACATAATTTAATATATACTCCCAATGGTCAGTATGTTCAAAGAATAAATACAGCCTCTACATGCACATCCACACGGAGCCCACCACCTTCCGAAATTTACTATTACACTGTTAGATAACTGGTGCTTGGAAGACTGATCTTCGTATTGAACACTTAGCAAGACTCCCTGCAGTTTTTGTCCACAGATTTTATTTCTGCACAGTTTGGGGCCATGCAAGACAAGCCTGTGCGGTCGCTCCCTAAGCTCGCTTTGCAGCGCCCAGAACCTGGTCCGTCTACTTCACGTCTTCCACGTTGACCCTTGCTTGCAGAGGTCCCTCTGGGCGGCGCTGCTCTGGCCCAGCCCCTCCAGCGCCCCGCCCCGCCCCGCGCGTCACGTGGTCGCGGCGCCGCTGGCAGCTGCGCTCTCCGGGCGGGGCTTGCAGGCGCTGGTCCGCCTGTCCCGGCCGCACCGTGGTCCTCACGCTGCGCTGTGGCTTCCAAGGCGTCGAGGGCCGTGGCTGGGAAGGCTCCCTGCGAGGTAAGAGACTGCAGCGCCGTCTGCGGAACCCGAGTCCCGGAGCAGGGGCGGCCAGGGGAGAGCTCGGTTGCCTCGGCGCTGCCTGTGGGGGACCAGGACGCTGCCTTAGGCGACTGGCTGAGGCGCAGCGCGTGCTGGGCTCTGGGAACCCGGCCTGGCTCCTGGGGAAGCGCATCTCGGGCCCCCTCAGCCACCGCTTCCCCTCACCTGGAGACTCCGCGGCTCCCGACGATGGGACTTGGTTTCTCTACCTGTAATACCAGCGGGCCCGGAGCTTGGCATCTAGGTGGTTACCTCCTGCCCCGGGGGCTTTGCGAGTGTGAGAGAGAAGTCCATGAGGAAGAATCCGACTCTCGGGAATGGAAGACCAAGCACTTACTGGATGTTCTATATTTTGTGCAAGTCTTGGGCCTCGTAGATGGCTTCTCCATCGTTGAAGAGAGATAATCCTTGCCCTGAGAAGAACAGATGGATAGGAAAGTCATCTGAAGAGCCAAAACTCTGGCGTTGGCTCTGGGTTCAAGTCCTAGTTCTTCCACTTACTAGCTGAGTGACCTTGAGCCAGATAGATTCCTTTTCTGCTAAAAGTGGGTAATAGTGTATTTCGCACATAGTTTGCCTTGAGGATTAAGTGAAAAGAGTAGCACAATTTGGCACCATAGATTGGACTATATATGAATTATTAAAATAGTAAGTTAGAGAGTTTTTATATATAGTAACAACTCACCAAGGAGTTTTTATGTAATAATCCACTTCAGTTGTATATATTGACCCCCAAACTACTGTTTTGATTTGTAGAACCTTCACTTTCCCCCTTCTGAGCCCCTCTTAGTCTGTTTCACAGTTGGCATGTGAACTTGTTCCTACCAAATGAGTCGAACAGTATGGGAACATTAATTTACTTGAGCAGATGGGTATCAGATTCCCTCTGAGGGGAAAGAAAAGTGCCAGCCATGTGCTGCCACCAAAAAAAAAAAAAAAAAAAAAGCAGTACAGTGATTGATTGTCAGAGCTGGAAGATGCCTAGGAAACCATGTAATTCCTCTGTCTAATTTGGCAAATAGAAGAAACTGAACCCAAAACCTAAAATGAGAACAGAGCTTTGATTTGCTCAGGACCTACCAGAGTATTGAAACTGGAGAGAATGTGTAAGTTCCAACTTACTTCATCATGTACTCAACAAGTATTTATCAAATGCCGTGTGTGTGTGTGTGTGTGTGTGTGTGTGTGTGTACACAAGTGCTAGGAGCCAGAGATGCAGTTCTGAAATGACACACGTGGTCTCTGCCCCAATAGAGCTTTTTCCTATAGCTAATTATGTTAGTTTGAATTTGTATAAAATATAGGTTGTGTGTGTGTATGTGTGTGTGTGTCCCTTTGCTGGTTCTTAGTATGTTTTATAAAAACAGTAAATTCCAGATCACTCAGAGCTTGTCTCCAGCAGCTAGCCCCAAGGGACAGAAACACACAAGAGAGGTGGAATTGTTTCTCCTTGTAGTTCCAGAGCCTTTGCGAAAGCCTGGTGAGATTTGAGAGACTGGAGAATACGCTGTTTTGTTAAGAGCTTTGCAGAAAGGATTTCCTCATGGCCCCCAACGCTTGGGTTTCTTTGTTTTTCTTGTTTCAGGCCTCTTACTGTTTTTAGATTTCTGAAAAGAGCAGTCCTCAACATAGTGTGTTCATTTTGGTTTCCATGGTTATCAGGGGACTTGTACTTCTGTGATAGCACAGATAGCTATTAAGCACTGTATGGTCAAGCAGTCACCATCTCACCGAAGGTTTCTGCTCTCCGGCAGTGGCCTTTTTCTGGGTCTTGTTGTTTCCCAATTGGAGTACTCTGCTTTCCTTTTTTTTTTTTTGTTCTGTATCATTTTTCATCTTTCCTTCCAAAAAAATACATTGATGAAATGTATTTTTTAGGGAGTGGGAATAAGTAGAACAGATAAAACCACACAGGTAGATCCCAGCCTCAGAATTTTGGTGGGCTTACTCTAGAGGCAGAGGAATAAGGGTGTAGATAGGGGCTCAGCAGGAGCTTGCAGGGAGGCAGGGCAGTGTCCCAGTAAACCAAGAAAACAGCGTATGTGAAAAAAGCAAAGTCCTTTTACAGGCCTCAGTTACAGAGGAATAACAGTACACAGCATTTTGTTTTGTCAATTTAACAAAAGAACCTGAATCACTTATTAAGGGTTTTGTTTGGAGTGGACCTGCTAATTTCCTTCATTATCTTCTGTTAGCTTAGTGATTTCCTAGTTCCTTCTCATCTGAAATAATGGATGTTGTATACATACACAAAGGTAGCATAAAAAGAGACATTAGACTACAGTTTTGTCTTTTTTCAGTTTAGATGTTTCACCTGTGTGTGTCATTTCACAAATTGGGTTCTAATGCAATCCACATTTCTTTCTTTTTTTTTTTTCCCCCAAGTATTTTCCCATGTCCTCTAATGCCCTCTTTAGTGAGAATTCCAGCTGGCATTAAACAGCCCAAAAGGGTCAGGCATACCATTATTACTCTCTAGAGGAAAGTCAGTCTTTCTTTCTTTCTTTCTTTCTTTTCTTTTTTTTTAATGTATTTGGCTGTTACAGGATCTCACTACGCAGCTGGGACTCATGGTGACCCTCCTGCTTTCAGCTTCCCCAGTGCTGGGATTACAGCCATGTGCCACTACACCTAAACTCTAGCCCACTCAGCCCACCCTGAGGACAGGGCTCAAACTGCTGTCCCCACACTTGCCTAAGCTTGCCTAAGCAGGTGCTTTAGTCCGCTGAGCTATCTTTCTGGCCCAAGATGTTGTTGTTTCTGACGTAGCTACAGGTGTCGCGTAGAAGAGCTATTCTACACAGTCCAAGGATATGTGGTCACTGCTGCTTACTGCCCCTTTGGACCAGGGCCCTATAGGTGCGAGCCCGTACTTGGATTCCCAGGTGAAATCCAAGTTTATTAGTTTATTCCCACATGTGGAACCATTCTCTCCAGTGCATTGTAAATCTGTAGTGTGCTCCTGTGCCTGGCAAGCTACTTAGGAGGCTGAGGCAAGAGGATTACTTGGACCAACAAGCTGAAGACCATCCTAAGCAATGTGGCAAGATCCTATCTCAGAAACCATGACAAAACAAAAACAGGAAAAAGAAAACAGTGACAAAAAAACTGGTTATGAATTGTTCTCAGTACAGTAACTCGTAAATCCTATCCTCTTTTCCCACAGAAAGCCACTATCTTGACTTTAGTAATAATCATGTCTTGGCCTTTCTTCGTAGTTTTATATTGTATACTTACATCCTTAAACATTATACTTTAGTTTTACTAGTTTAAATTCACACATATTTTGCATTTTGTATTTTGCTTCTTTTGCTAAGTTTGCTAACATCCATCCATGTGGCCTTACTTACTTTCATTGCTAACAATATTGGTATGAAAAATCACAGTATATTTACTTTATGGTGAGTAGACACTTGCACTGCCTATTCTATCTGACTGCGAAGAACATTCTTCGACATTTTCTGTTGTGTATGTGAACAGCTTCTTTCTGGGTTGGAGTGGAATTACTTTGCTAGATAATGCCAATTTTCTAAGTGTTTATATAGTTATTTTCCTACCAGAATATGAGTTGCACTTGCTTCACATCCTTGCAAATACTGCTTTTCTTCATTTTTGATGTTTAGCCATTTGTGAATATGTCGTAATAACTCCAGATAAGAATAGAGGAGATTCGGGAGCTAGCTCAGTGGAGGACCTGGATTCAATCGCTGGTAGCGCATGCCATGCCAGCTCCAGAACCTCAGGTGAGCTGTGCAGGCCCTGAAATCGGACATGGTGGTGCATGCCTGTAATCCCAGTGCTAGGGAGGCTGAGACAGGAGGATCAGTAAGTGTCTTAGTTACTCTTCTCTCATTGCCAGGACAAATACCCGACACTCAAAATGAAGGAAGGAAAGGTTTATTTAGCTCACAGTTACTGGAGGTTTCAGTCCATAGTCAGCTGGATCCAACGCAGAGCAGCACATAGCAGAGGGCAACCTTTCATGGTGGTGGCAAAGAGCAAGAGCGCAAGGGAGGGGTAGCAGCAGCTCAAGCAGCTAGCTTCTCTTCCCACCTTACATTGTAATGCAAATTACCTGCACCAGGGTAGGGGAAGTACTCACACCTATGGGTACTTCCCAGTATTTACCCACCTATGGGTAATCCCAACAGTACTAAGACCCATAATCCCAGCCTTGGATCACACATAATCCCAGTGGATCATGAGTTGACACAAACTCTTTAGAAGTCCTCACCCCATGACTGCATGAGGCTTTGGGGGGGACAACTATACACAAACCATAACAGTAAGAGTCCGAGCTATATAGTGAGACCCTATTAAAAAAAAAAAAATTACAGGGTGCCCATGCAGTGTGTGGCTGAGATATTAGAAGAATGGAGAGCTGAGATCCTTAAAGCTGCTGAAATTTTCATTTTTAATTTGGAAGACTTAGGTCCTACTAAGGTCATATTCCTCCATTTCTGTAAGATTCTATCATCTGTAATAGGACTTGATAAGCCCTCCCTTATTGATACTTGGAATCAAAAACACCCTAGAACAGATGTTTAGAACTTGAGGGCAGTGCCAACCTGGGTTAATTTCTTTTGCTGCTAATGCTGTTCCAGTCCTCCTGTTCTGAATAATAGAATTTATTCTGTTTGCCACTGGATGGTTGGGAGCTCCCAGATTTTGTCTCAGCATGCTTTTACAGCCACTCCTTGGCCTGGTAGTAAGCATCTGCACTGTAGGCCAACAAGGTGGCTGTGAACCCTGCTCTTTCTGTATTTCCCTATTTCCTACCTCACAACAGAAAACTCTTAACTGAACTGATTGGTAGAATTCATTATTCTCTCCTAGGATGCAGAAAGGGTTTAAAATACACAGAGAAAGAGAATAGGATTTCAGGAAGGAGCAAGTCATAGGAAGGAGGGAATCCATCAACATTTATTGTGTTTACTACTACTCATCAGACACCGTGT